TTCTCTTCTCCAGGCTGAACAGCCCCAACTTTCTCAGCCTGTCTTCATACAGGAGGTGCTCCAGCCCTCTTATCATCCTAGTGGCCCTCCTCTGGACTTGCTCCAGCAGCTCCATGTCCTTTTTATGCTGAGGACACCAGAACTGTACACAATACTCCAAGTGAGGTCTCACGAGAGAAGAGTAGAAGGGCAGGATCACCTCCTTTGACCTGCTGGTCACGCTTCTTTTGATGCAGCCCAGGATAACAGTTGGTTTCTGGGCTCAAGCGCACACTGAAGCTGGCTCCTGTCAAGCTTCTCATCAGCCCACACCCCCAAGTCCTTCTCCTCAGGCTGCTTTGAATCTCTTCTCCGCCCAACCTGTAGCTGTGCCTGGGATTGCCCCAGTCCAGGTGCAGGACCTTGCACTTGGCTTGGTTGAACTCATGAGGTTGGCATCAGCCACCTCACAAGCGTGTCAAGGTCCCTCTGGATCCCGTCCCTTCCCTCCAGTGTATCAACTGAGCCACACAGCTTGGTGTTGTCGTCACCAAACTTGCTGAGGGCGCATCAATCCCCCTGTCCATGTCACCGACAAAGATGTTGAACAATACTGGTCCCAACACCAATCCCTGAGGGACACCACTGGTTGCTGTTTTCCAACTGGATATTGAGCTGTATACCAACAACTCTTCGCGTGCAACCACCAGCCAATTCTTTATCCACTGAGTGGTCCATCTATCAAATTGATGTCTCTCCAATTTAGAGACAAGGATGTTGTGCAGGACGGTGTCAAATGCTTTGCACAAGTCCAGGTAGATGACGTCAACGGCTCTGCCCCTGTCCATCAGTTCCGCAGCCCCACCGTAGAAGGCCACCAAATTGGTCAGGCAGGATTTTCCCTTAGTGACACCATGCTGGCTGTCACCAACCACCTCGTTGTTTTTCTTGTGCCTTAGCATGCTTTGCAGGAGAATCTGCTCCAAGATTTTGCCAGGCACAGAGGTGAGACTGACTGGTCTGTAGTTCCCCGGGTCTTTCCTTTTCACCTTCTTGAGAATGGGGGTTATATTAGCCTTATTCCAGTCATCGAGAACTTCACCTGACCGCCATGATTTTTCAAGTATGATGGACAGTGGCTTAGCAACTTCATTTGCCAGCTCCTTCAGGACCCATGGATGGATTTCATCAGGTCCCATGGACATGTGCACGTTCAGGTTCTTAAGATCCTGATCCTCTCCTACAGTGGGCCTAAGGTCTTCATTCTCACAGTCCCTACATCTGCCTTCCGAGACTTGGGTGGTGTGATCAGAGCATTTGCTAGTGAAGACTGAGGCAAGTCTCACTTAAAAAGTGTGTTCTGATGCTTCACCTGCTGGTTGCAGCAGCCAAGCTGATCTGCTGTCACTATGTGATATTAATATGTGATATTATGTACCAGGCAGAAAGACCTCTACAGGAAGAAATTGCTGTCATGCCAAGCAAGAGGCCTGTGTCGAGCATCCCATGAAAGCTGTGTGCTCTCCCACAGGCTTTGTGTTCCTTTTTGGCATTTGGAAGTGCTTTTTGCCACCTGAGGACTTCATGTCCATAACTCAGGCTGTCTGGTGTGAACCATGCAGACAGATTTAAGCCTAAGTCAGTACGCTGTGTCTTGCTTTATTTCTCTACAGGGCAGCATGTTTTGACCAACAACAAAATTCAACTTCTGCCTTCTCAGCATTTTGCTTCCTAAAGGACTATGTAAAGTGATGTTTGCAAAAGAAAGATGATAGCATTAAGTTATGCTATGAAAAATCCATGCAAATGTATCATATTGATATACTTTTTACAGTGTTACCGGTAAAATTGAGATGAATTCTCATATGCTTCAGTACACATACATTTACCTATACATACTCATACCTAAATACATTCGTACCCATTTATGTGAATTGTAAATCAGTAGTTAATGAGTTCCATTTACCTTAAATTCACTACACTGACTTTTGATCATGTTTTCCTGCCAGTGAAATACTATTTAATGACATTCCTGGGTGACTGTTAAAGCACTCCATGATGATTAAGCATCACAGGGGACAGTAGTTCCCTCAGGACAAACACCTTTAGATATGTCCTCTCTGTTCCTGGTAGTCCATTAAATTGAGACCGCACCTGAGGAGTCTTTGAAATTCAGAAACCCGACAGCTAATAGGCCTGTTAAGCTCTTAAGTCTTTTCCTAGAGGGTTGTTGGCTGTCCCTTTCTAACCGTAGGAAAGCTGAACTCCCTTGGGCATGGCTAGGTGGAGCCCTCTCCTGGCCAGACGGTAAAGAAAACTTGAACGTGAGCGTGTCCGAACTCCTGCCCTGGTGATTAACCTTGCTGTAAACAAACTGGGTAGAAACTCTGAAGGAAAAGTTTCCTGCAGACTGGCAGAGTTAGCTTCCAGTTTCGGTTTCTAAACTTAACAAACAAACAATTAGAAACCAGTTGAGTGGATGTTTTATATGATACTTTCTTGTGCGTTTTAAGAACAGTGAGAAGGTGAACCACCAAGCGTGGTTCATTATTAGATGCTGATAGAGCAAAGGCATGGTGGTTATCAACCATTCTTTTAGATGATGACAAATTTTGGGCAAATCATCCCTAAAATCCGGTTTTACTGGATTGACATGAGCTGGATGATATCGAGAAATAGTTTCATTTCTGATGCTTTGTTTGTCGTGGACTGTGACAGACTCAACCTTTTAGTGGTTGATCAGTCTTCTGCTCCAGACAGAGCCCTGTCTTCTGCCTTATTTGTGACTGTGCAGGTGTCAAAGTTATTTCCATTTTTGCAATGTGGATTCATCTCTTGGATAGTTGAATAAACTGTTGCAGCTCAATGAATTTTATTGATGAAAAGGCTTATTGAAATGACAATAGCAAAGTTTCTGTCTGAGAGCTTCCATACAAAGATAAGCATCAGTAAAATTCTGTGTTATTTGCATGTAATCTCTGTGATTAGATAGTAACAGCTAGGGAAAAACATTACTGTTCATGAGAGTTAATCTTGTTACTGTAACAAGGTGATTGAAAATTTGCCCCAAAACATCCTTGGACTCTTTCAGTACAGGATGCAGAGATATAAAGCAACATACTAGGTACCCATACAGGCTACTTTAGTGTGCCTGAAAAGGTTTTGCTGTGCTTCCATTGTTGGCAGATGTGCTCATCAAACTTCTACTCACGGCAACCCAAACTAGGAGCCTGATTTTATTTGTCATAACACAGTTGAATTGCAAGTTTAAGGCTTCTGCTTTATTGTACTGCAAGTTGTGAAATGTGAGTTATTGCGTTGTCAAGAGCTCCGGATGAACATAACTCTGTGTGAAAATAAGGCATCTGTTCCCTGTAGCTGTATTGTACCTGAAAGCTCCATTACAGATATCTCAGAATTGTTTTTACATTAACGCTGGAAGGAAGTGACTGGTGCTTATGGCAGTGGGATTCAAAAGAGCTACCTTCAGCTGATATTTAATTTATCCAACTTTTCTTGAGTATGGATCAGTTCAGCTCAAGTCCCTCCATCCTGGTTTCCTCTGCAAAACAGAGATAATGTTTGCCTACCCAATAGGGACATTTGGTAATGCAGGTACTATTCTTTACTAGGGCTAAAGGATTCATGTAAGCATTAAGATGTTTCAAAGTCCTTGCAAAATCTGATTTCTCAGGATATGTACTCACTACATATTCCAGAGCAATGCTTAAAGTTTGGTGCAGCGTTGTTAATTGGAGCAGGTGGGAAGTCCTTTCATTCAAGCTGTCCTCAATGACCTCTACCTTAAATAACAATGTATCAGAACTTGAACTGATTTGTCTGTGCTCATTTTTAATTATTAGGAATGATTAGCAATGATTGTCTAAAATTTGCATACTCCAAACCGTTTTTTCAAGCGTGTATCAATTTAGATCATCATTTATTCAAATTCAACAGAACTTTTTGCTATGAATTATTGAATGGGTAAGAAAATAGGAGAAGCTTTAAGAAATATAGCTGGTTTTGTTCCTATGACTATTAATTCTGCTTTAATCTTAACCGTATTGTTTTCCAGGGGGATCAGATATTGAGTACCTAGATTTTTATAAGCCAGTGGTGTGGTTCTGGATCCTTGTTGGGCTTGCCTATTTTGCAGCTGTCCTCAGCATGATTGGAGACTGGCTAAGAGTCATATCAAAAAAGACAAAGGAAGAGGTAAGAATGTGTTGAAAGGGGAAGAAATAACACTTCTAAAAAACTTCGTTTAGAATTCAGGTGAGCTTATAGCTGCTGTTGCTCGTAGAGCATAGGTCAAAGCTGTTTATGTATAAAGTAAAAGTTGCAGCAAACTTTGTAGGAGTCTAATCAAACATAGTGATTTTCACATGGCTGCATATAAAATTAGTTAAATTTATTATTAAGTGTATATGCAAAATTGTACCTGACTTACAGGAAAAAAATTCTCTAAAAGGATTGTTCTAGGCTGAGAATGTAGCCCTTAATTTTTGAGCCAAAAGTAGTTCTTTTTTGTTTCTGTACAACTTGCAGGTATGTAAAGGAAAAATACTAAATCAGTAAATACTTAGATGCCTTTCATTATTTTATTGCAGTAATAGAATAAATGTTTTATATCATGAACGGTGTTGGAATGAATTATTTAAATGTGCCTGAGTGTATTTTTCGTTATCTTCAGTGGCATGTTTATTTATATGTAGTCAGGTGCATTGCTTGTAGTTCAAATATATTTTTACTTGTAAATGTGTATTTATCATTCCATCAATGCTATGACATCTTACTTTAAATTTTGTTGTTTAAGAAAATGTACCAGTTCTGAAAATGTTAGAGGATACATAAAATTTTCTTTGATTGCAGCTGTCACAGTTCAGGTTTTAGTAGAAGTTTGAGAAATAAATAATTTGGTTTTAACAACATAGTATTTCCTTCTAATATGCAAAAATACCTTGTTCAGGCTTGGCTTTGCTGCATTTCCTCAGACACTGGTGACACAGTTTAGTTCTTCACACTACTTCCTAGAACTAATCTGGTCTTTAATCTCACTTTTCTCATACTCTTATTCCACACAGCATCTTATCTAGAGATCTTACTGTCTTGACTATACAGTTGCACATAGCACACTGAAGGTTTGTTCTTGTTTAGTGTCTCATTATCCATGTTATTATAATGATGATAATACATTAAGAATGTTTGAAATTTGTATCTTGCTTTTATTTTATAGTGAAGCTATTTCAATATAGACTAACTTTAGAAAAACATGAAGTGAACAAATGCATGTATTCCTATAACACATTGAATACAGTCCTATTTTATCAAGTAAAATGTCATTTGCTAGTTTATGCAGCACAGTGCTATGCCAAACTTTATTTTCTCAGGCACCAGGAATGTATGCCCTATTTCATCTTTCCATTCTTTCTCACCTCTATAGCCTAAACAAGCATATTCATTTTGTCTACAGAAAGGAAAACATCATTCTTCAGATATATCCAAATTGTCTTGGCTGATGCAGGTATTCATGATTTTGCTGTATAAATGTCTTGTGTGTTAGGTTAGATTAAAGACAGACGTAATCTGTACTGTTTGTCCAAATAATCATATTACTGATGGTCAGAAATCACTCCCAGTTTTTAACCCATTGCTCAGACACGTCTAAGAATCCATGCCAGATAGAAAATGTTTTAGCAGTTTGAAAATGCTACAGTTCTGGAAAATTAAGGAGACCAGTTTGAGAACTAAATTATGGCATAGCACAAGTTGTGTTCTAGTTAGAAAATATGAAAAATTATTTCTGTATTCTGTCCTAATGATGCTTTGTTGGAAACAAAAAAAAAATGTAGTTCTATAAATACATTGCATTTTGTTATAAAATTGGCTGTGTATGAATGGAAGTGCTGTAAAAATGTTCACTTTACAGGTAATATTTTATGATACAAACTGACTGCTGCTCTTAGCTCATCCTTACTATCTGCCTCGGAAAAACTGAGTGAAGAAGCTGGGCGAGTTCAGTGGAAATGTAGTCATTAAGTCTCTTGTATGCCAGCAGAAGCCAGAGGAGACTCTGAATTTCTTGTATTGTCTGTTTTTTCAGTTAGAACTAAATTAACGATGATCTGTTCCAGCTTCTATGGATACAGATTATAGCAGGGAAACCTATCTAAGTTCAAAGAGTAGAAATGAGTGCAATGGAAAAATCATAGTTCTAAATGGTTTTTTAACTGCCTTAAGGAAACATCCTGTCAGCCCTTGGGGAAATAGCTCATTATATCTAAAGTAGCCTTTGAAATCAGAAACAATGTCATATATTGAAATCTACAGAGACACAGAGGCTGTGATGAAATCTATAGGACTCTGAAAACTAAAATGGTGTAATAAATTTCCTAGGAAATATAACACACTGAAAGTCTTCCTTCATGAACCTTGCTCGTTGTGGATATCAACACCTGCAAGTAAAGAAGATTTTGTGTAGGATATGTATCATACCTTTCATGAAAAAAAGTAGTAGTAGCCTACCATGTTTTAGATACAGGAGGGAGCAGATCATTCAATGCCCATTGGTTGTTTTGGCTTCAGTGGTCCAAGACTGAGGGCTGGTATCAGCCAAGTCTAGTGAATTGTACCACAGTGCAGGATGAAGATGGGGGGTGAAAGTGTTGAAAAGTGTTTTCAACAAGTGTTGAAAAGCCCCTCTCTTTACTTCCCCATGATAATGAAAACTGTTTCAGTATCTCTTTTGACAGGCAGCTGTAAAAATCTTCTTTTTGCCTTTTCCTGTAGTCTGAAGTAAAAAATGGTCTCTCATAGCATATTTAGGATGTATATTGTGAAAGGAGGCCTCCGCATTCCGGAAAGTGGTATGCTGATAATGAATATCACATAGTATCTATAGTCCTGTTCACGTTTTTCTTTAATGCTGCTGCGTTGTTCTTAAAAGCAGTTTACGTAAGACTGTAGTAATAATACATTTCACTGTTTCAACAAAACAAAGCACCTGTTCTTTTCAGGATACTACCAGTAAAGTTTGCCGTGTGCAAGTGGAACAGAAAGAAAACAATCTGATCAGATATGCACTGATCCACAATAATGCGCTATTTGGATTTAAACCCCAGATAACTAGAATAACTGTCAGTTGCTCAGGTGGCTTTTGTCTCCTGAAATACACTTGAGAGTTTTGATCCCTGAAATGGGGAGGGAGGTGAAACACAAGTAGAGTCAGAAGTGGGAGTTTCAGAAGGCCACATTGCTGCTGAAAGCAGTTCGTACAGTAGGCTAGATGAAGTGTCAGTCACTGGAGTATGCTGTGTGCTGTAATCTTAAGTAGGTGATCTGCCTCTGAAGTTCAATTTCAGCTGTACTAGCTTGCCTCAAACTCCCTCCTCTTCATTATTCTCTAGACTCTGGTTAGTCAGAGCACTTTTAAAGTCTTCTGGTTTTAGGTTTTTTGGAAGGTAAAATTTGAGCAGGATTTCTTTTCCTTGTCATATTTTTCTTCAGCATGCAGCAGTTTCTGTATTTCTGTATTTCAGTGTTCCGAGCACAAATGCCTGTCCAACCGAGAATCCTGGTCATGTGGGCTATAAATTTCAAATTTGCTTTTAAAATTAAATGCTTCTGTCCTTTTGGCCTCACTATAGTCTGCTTGTTAAGCTTTAGTCCACACCCCATTCAAGTCAATGAAGATGGGATTCATCTCTAGTGTGGATATCAACATCTGACCTACTAATCTACATTCCCTTCAGTGGAAGGAAATGACTGTTTCTAGCATGATCTATTTGGAAGAAAATGAGAGTTTCTGTCATGAATCATTTGAGTTTTTAAGGCACCTACCATATGAGGTTAATTGCATCCAAGTAGAGCCTGTTCTTTTCATTGTGTATCAGGAATCCAGGTGACCGACTTAACATGTTAGACATTGGCTGAGTTTGGACAAGTGATTTTTTCATGCTGGGTGTCTGTCTTTTGAAATGAACAATATGAATCCAGCTTTAAAGACCAAAACTAAAATTTAATGAGAAAAAGCACATTCACTTCTTGAAGAAATTAAAGAGGCAATTGTTATCTTTGATATTTCATAAACAAATTGAATTCAACTCATCTGAATCATCATTTAGTTTAATCTTCTTGGCATCAGTGACAGAGGTGTCACTCGTGTCTGTCAAAATAGAACTGTGCTTGTCATGGTGATGCCGTGGAGATTATCCCACCCTGTGTAATATTTGTTGTCTTTTCATTTTACTAGCTTCAGGCTAAAGGTAATCACCCCACGTAAGGTCCCAACCTAAAAAAGAATTGAATACATCCCTCATCCCTCAAGGAGGAATCCTAAATGTAGGCTGTATGCATGAAAAGATGAAAAAAAGAGTGGACTTGAGAGAGTTTCACAAGGTTTTAGTGAATTGAACTGGCAAACAGGGTGTGTGACCAAAAAGGAGGAAGGATAAGTTCATTCAGTGGTGATGAGTTCTTAACCTGGCTCTTGCTGTTTTAAGAAACAAAGTCTTTTCACTTAGAAATGAAGTTGGTAAGAATAACTCTTCAGCCTGGTGATCAGAGGCTTTTTACAAAGGCGTGAACCAACTGCTGATGCATTATGCATTGTTTTAAGTGAGATGGATTGGCTTCTGTAGAAGAAAACAACTGTTAGGTAGGGCTGTTCTTTTTCTTACAATAGATCAAAAACAATTGCTGTAGTTCTAAGAATTGTATAACCACAAGTTCAATGTGTAGGTCAGACTGACTTGATGGAAGTCTGTTCCTAGAAAGCACGGAAATATTTGTGGGAGACAGTCATGATAAAGCAACTGCATGTAAAATCCTTTTGCAAGGCAACAGTTGATAGGCGTGGCACAATTCTAGGATGTGCGAGCAGGG